GATGCTAAAGGACATATTAGAAGGATATACAATGTTTTATTAGAATTGGATTCAGAAACTGAGCTAGTTAAAGATTGTATGATTAAATGGGCTCAAAATATAGGAGAAACAATATCTATGGATACCTGGGAGTTGATATGGGTGAGAAATGTGAAATTCACGCAGGCCCAAAATTTACGTGAGAATTTTTATAAAATGTTTTATAGATGGCACATGGATCCTGCAACTATGTCTCGTATTTATGAGAATTATGAATCCAAGTGCTGGAGGTGTGGACAACAAGAAGCAACTTTTTTTCATATGTGGTGGACTTGCAAGGTTATTAAGGCCTTTTGGATAAAATTGTGGTGGAACCTACAGCAAATTTTTAAAAGTAGAATTTTTTTTTTGCCTCAGTTGTTTCTCCTAGGTATTACACAAAATTTGGATGTAAAAGAAATGAACTTGATGTTGTATTGTTTAACTGCTGCCCGTTTGTTGATAGCTCAAAACTGGAAGGGTAAAGTTTTACCTACAATGGAGGACTGGAGATTGAAGGTTTCGCATCTTGCTGAAATGGCAAAAATTTCGGCTTATTTGAAGAATCATTCAAATGAACAATTTTTATCAATATGGAGAAGATGGATTGTTTATATTCAAAATAAGCATAGAATGGTGGAATATAATCTAGGCTTTTAGATAATTTGTTTTTTTTTTCTTTTTACATATTTCACCTACTTATGTAGAATAATATTTTGTGGAGTTAGGGATATTAATAGTAGTTTACTTTTAGTTGAATTGTATCCTGGGATTAGGTTTGGGAAGTCCGGGGGGTGGGGGGTGGGGCTTTTATTATAAGCATTGTGATGTATTTGTGATGTGTTTTTTTTATGATGAAAATAATAAAAATTTATATTTGAAAAACAAAAAAACAAAAGCAAGAGTTTCTTTCAAATCAAAGTTAATTCCTATTAATGGTATGGATAAGACCATATAGATTGTTTGTTCCTGTGGAACTCACTTGGCACTACCTTCTTCTGGGATATTTTTCATCTCCTAATCTAGATTATAGCCCTGATATCTCTATGATTTCACAACCATGGTCCAACACAGCTTGTCTACTGCACTTCAACAGGTGCTGTCACCAGCTGACACTTCATTAAAAAACAGCAATGAAACAGTGATCAGATTTTGCCAAGAGAAGTGGTTTCATTATAAGGAGAGAAAAAAATCAGAAAAGCTCAAAAGAGTATTTGTAAAAAGAACTACACAATTATGGCTCTAGATTTTTCATGAACCAACACAATTGTAATTATTTTTTTAAAGAAATATAAAAGTATAGGTAAAACATATTAATGTAGGCACAATTGAAGAATTTAATTGACTTACCAACTCCACTGCAAATACTCCAAGATGGCAATCTATATGGTATAGTTGAGCTATAGAACACACTGACATCCTGAGGTGCCAGAAGCTCCACAAATTTGGCATTTTTAAATAAATCTTTCTTACAATGGAGGATACAGGCAGCCTGATCAGAGATGTACAAAATTTTCCCAGTAGACAAAGAAACAGCTACAGCAAACATATCCTAAAACATGATATATATTCAATGAAACACATTTTAGGTTGGCAAAATGAAAAGAAACACAAATGCTGTGAGCTACAAATATGCTAAACTAATGAGATATGGCAAAATTAACAATTTTTGGGTAACAAGAAAATGAGTAAATGAATAAATGATTGAATATATTATGGCTTACTTTTGACTCTTAACGGTATGCTTCAGATCTAGATGTATTCTGAATTAAGTTTGGATAGTTCAGATATCTGAATCAAATTAAGATCTCTTTTAGGGACATATATCATGATTACATTGGGCAAATCAAGATAATTGTACTTTATTCAATAAATCATTTTAAATCAAATTATGGCATGCCTCAGTAATCAAAGAGGGCCAGCATTTTTCAAAAAAATCCAGAAACAAACTCTCTATGAGGAAGAACAGCAAAATGTTTTCTAAAAATCTGTAAAATTCATATAAAAGACAGTTGCCTGAATTTGCATAAGTAATGGTGTACATGTGTAAGCGTATTTATATTTACGGTATATAAAATTTATCATGGGTATCATGGGAACTAATACTCTTGAATGGCTTATTCATTTCACTTACTATTTTATTCAACCTCCTCTCTCTTCTCCCCACCCCAGAAAGCAGCATACATGGATTATCTCCCTCACTATAATTTTATGCAAATCTATTAAAAGATTAAGTAACAACATTGGATTTACTCAGTGAACATAAGGTTCACTATCAGTGGAAATCAGCATCTCCCTGGTTTAAGTCCAGAATCTCAATGGCTTTCCTTTATGTGAGGGATGTTGGTACTAGATACAGAAATAATTTAAATACTATAGATCATGGGTGTCAAACTTGCTGCGTCACGTGACTGCGACATATTACGACTTTTTTTTGCATTCCTGGAGCTGGGGTGGGCGCAGCCTCTGCATGATGCAACCGGCCTGTGGGCCAGCAGTTTGACACCTCTGCTATAGATGCTTTTAACTATTAAAAAGAACTGCTAAGATTCTCTATTTGAGTTAAAGAAGATAATTTGCACATTTGTTGTGGTGGGAATACTTACTGCATTCTTCATGGTGTACTCTGCAGTAATGTTTTTAACATCTTCCACAGTACAGGATAATATATCAAGATCACAGAGATAACTTTCATTAATCATCATCAACTGGTAATATTCTTCATTGGCTACAGAAAAAAACAATGTGTACAATTCAAGCAGCTTTTTAAATACTCTTTTATTTTTTATTTAGGCTGATATTTAATCGTATTTTTAAATGAACAATTTTTATGAGCTTAATATACTGATTCAGCTAGAAGTATACTTCCTAATTAATTTATTAACAAGTAATGGAGCCATTCCAAAGACACACCCGGTTAGCAACCCATTAGCACACACAGCTCACCCGTTAGCAAGAGAGAGAAGGGGGGGGCGATAAGAAACAGGAACAACGAGACGACCAACCCCCAGGAGTTTACACACGGGCAAGGAAAGCAACAGGGCTGGCAAATAGAAGAACAGAGCTTGAAGCACACACGCTAGATAGCGCAGCAATACAGAGGCAAACTAAGATGAATGAGGGGGTGGGGAGAGATGACGGGGAGCAGATGAACAGCAGATCTCCAGGCACCCACACCCACACAAAGAAACAACAGCAATTGGAGAGTAGAGGACAACTTTAGAAACGGCCCCTTTAAGAACTACACAGCCAATGCTAATGAGCGGACCAATGACCACCATATATATATATGGTGAAGCTTTCTGATATTCCATGGAATGATGCTTGATTCCTAGGTTGCAACTGTGGGCTTGATTCCTAGGTCGCAATCCTGTGGAGACATTCCTCACCTTCATTTTCATAGTGTGAATTTGTTTTCTTCTGTGTCTGATTACAGACTTGTAGACTCCCTGGACAAGTATTGCTAGCAAACTTCACCTCTTGAAATAGTCATTTCTGCCTTAAGCAGACAAGGAACCCTTCTTGCACAAATGTTTTGGTACTGAAGAACATCATGTGATAATGTGATGCACAAATGTTTTGAACTGCTAAATTTTATAGCAATTTTGCTTTAACCAATGGTCCTTAATCAATTCATCAATCTTCCTCATGAAAAACTTATTGGTTGCTTATTGGACATAGATTCTCTGCATTGATCACACAATTCCGCTTCTCCTGGTATCTCTATATTTTTGGCCCAGCAACATATAGTATTTATCTTAATAGTTATCATTTTAAAATAACCTGGATTTGGTGATAAATTTCAATTGAAGTGACTCCTTCAGCAGTCTAAAATTTAATCATGGCATGTTGCTTCCATTTTATGAATAGCAGCTCAATCTTTTTTTAAAGCATCTCCCACAAACTGAAGTGAAAGAAAAGAGTATATCAGAGCTTCTCAAAAGCCAATACTGCCATCTGTTGGTAATCTATTATAATTTTGGAATGCAAACTTCATATATTAAGTTCAGGAAAATAGTTAAGTTGGAAAAAATAGCTAATTAATGTAAATCTATCTTGGAGTTAAATTCATTTTAATAGAATCCATATCAATCTTATATATATCCTATCTTCTTCCATTAATCAAGTAGTACTGTGAAATACACATTGAAACTCTTGGCACTACTTTCATGTGACAGCTGTCAGTATGTATGTGTCTGTATTATACGTATGTGTGTGAGACAGACAGTGAGGAATAATAGATTAATATGAACTTTCATCATATAATTTTATTCAATAGTGTATATTTATATGAACTGATGTTTAGTTTTTGACATTAAAAACAAAGTTATAGCAATCATATCAAGATTGTGAGAGAAAAAAGCATTAATGTAGTTCACAGCCTCTTTTATTATAGCTTCTCTTCCTGTTGTAGCTTCTGCATATTTTTAATTTCTGAAATATGAATATGAATAGTTAATATAGTTACCTTTAATTTGCTTAATGCTCCTAAGTGCATATTTCAAGGTTGCCAGGATACTTGATTTGCCTTTGATCTTTTTATAAGGAGGAAGATATCCTTTTAGCTCTTGCAAAGTTTTTATCAACTCCTTCCGAGTTTTGGATTTAGAAGATTGTTCACTTCTAGACATTGTAAATGAAAATAATTCAAGTTTAATGTAACTTTTAAGGTTTATTGATTTATAAAACAATGCAAGGTGATATAAGCACATTGTTCTCCTGACTGCTTAAGTGTATTTTATTTTTACAATATATAGTTCTTCAATAATGACTCTCAAAAATATGAAATATACTAATTCTCCATTTATGTCTTCTAAGTTTTTTATGTTCTAAGTTTTTTATGATTAGGCTAATTACTTTCTTGCTGCAAGAATAATGTACTCATTAAGTCAGAAAGTCAGTAAAAAACCCTATACTGAATTCTGCAATTAATTCAGCATAGCAGGGAAAACTGAATTCTGTCACTGAACAGTAGTGAGTGCTGTATATTTAAAAAAGATTAGTCTGATTGTCCAGTACATCAATTTTTTTTAATATAAAAAGAAGTGCATACTTAATCACAGATAAAAATTGCCAGGTTCTTTAAAGCAAATTCTTCCATTTTTAATCACAGTTAAAATTTAAATTGGCACCATTATTAATCCTTGTTCATTTTAAGGTCAGACATCATTTTTGTCTCAGTATAAGCATTTAGATATGGAACATCCACAATTATACCAATGCAAATTACATATAATTGCTACACATATTCACAGCATCAAGACAATTATTTGGGATCAGAATAATACCTTTTATAGTAATCAAAAGATTCCATAATCATAGCTGTTTCTTTATCATTTTCTTCACCCTCATTGCTGTGGTAATCATGCCCACTGGAATCATTTTCATTGGTATCATTTGTACTCATTTCCCCACTCATCTCAATATCTTCCTGAAGAATATCCAAATTTTGTTCATTCTCCATTTGAATATCCATGGTTTCTACTATGATTTTATCATTTGCTGTTTTCAAATTGTTGCTCATTCTAAACAATTTTAATGCCAATAAGTGCTACATAAATGCCAAAGAATCCAAGGTTTTTCAGAGCAAAGTTCAAAGAATATTTGGCCTTAGGTAATCAGTTATGCAACACTACAGTAATGTTTTCCATTCCATATCAACACGACAATGTTTTCCAATGTTCAAACTTGAAATATTATTTTAGAAACCTAAGAAAAGAAAAAAAAACCAAACAAAAAAGTTTGTTTTTGTTCTCTATATTCTTATTTATCTTGTTTGTCAAGTAACAATAGCATTGAAACAAATAATTTTATAGTAATTCAACAGCTGACATTATTAGTGAATGAATCCAAATGAATCACAATCCTCTCTACAGTGGGTCAGAGAAAAAAAAAGTCACATTTTATTGCTCACATTTACTGCAGAATCTTTGTGAGAGAGTGTCACTACAAGAAACGAAAAAGATATCTGTATGGGTTTAAAATCCACACATGCATATTAAAAAACAAGCCAGTTAATTGTTATAGCATGTTTAATAATTTCTACATTAATGCTTCCCTTTCAACTATTTCTGTGATAGCAAGAAATTTAGTAGTTATTCTGTTTGTTAGTGAGCTACAGTAGTTTGCAATTGTTGGATAAGAAAAGTGTCAGGAAAGATGTCTTTCTTGCTGGAAATATATGAAAAATAAGGAGCGGCCTTTCCAGCTGTCCAGGATGGAAAGAGTTACCATTGTTGTAACTCAAGTTTATTGATTTTTTTTAAGTGCCACTCATCTCATCTAGAGGCAACTCTGGGCGCCTTATAAATGTTAAAACTGAGACATTAAACTAATAAAACAATAAACAATAACAATATTAAGAACAATTAAAAGATGGGGAGGCAGATGAGGTCTTAAATGAACAGCCACCTCAGAATGATGCACCCCTGTAGGGGCACCAAGCAACTGGCAGAGCCATTTTTTCAGAACCTTATGGAGGTGCCGATCTCACCTCTGGGAGTATGATGCTCCAAAGGGCAAAAGTCACAGCAAAAAAAGGCTCTTGTCCTGGACTCCACCAGCTGAAATTCCTTGACTAATGGGGTCTGCAGCATGTCCCTATTACTGGTACGGATTCGGGTGAGATGGTTCGTCAGATAACCTGGACCCATGCCACAAAGGGCTTTAAAGGTGATAACCAACACCCTGAACTGCATCCAGAAGCAAATGGGCAGCTCGCAGAACAGTGATGTAACATGGCCCACCCTAGGGACAGCAAGAACTGCCTATGTCACCACATTCTACACCAGTTGTAGCTTCCGAATACTCTTCATGCACCAGTTATAGCTTCCAAATATTCTTCAAGAGTAGCCCCATGTAGAGCAGGGCTCAATATTAGTGCCTCACTTCTAATATTAGTGAATATTAGAAGTGAGCAGTATAAAGTTTGTTAGCTTATAGCATGTAAAAATATATATCAATTTCTTAATAGGCAATAACCTGCTTCTCCCCACTGGTTTTGAAGCTAATGTTTTAGCAAGCTAGAGTCCCACCTCCACCTACAAGCCTCTATCATGTAGACCAGGAGTCCCCAACCTCCGATCCGTGGCCCAGTACCGGTCCGCGGCATGCCAGAAACTGATCCGTGCAAACAAGTGAAACCCCATCCACAGGATGTAGGCAGCACGCAAAACCACACACCTTCCGGTCCCCGAAAAAAACCTCTCTCCACAGAACCAGGCCCTGGTGCGCAAAAGGTTGGGGACCTCTGATATAGACTAAAATGAGCTGCATCACTGTGTAGATAAGATCTGCATCTATCATAATCAATATATAGAAGAATAAAGTGACAGAGTCCTGTATCAGTATATTTATCAATTTCATGTAGCTGCCTATCTCACTGAAGGTGAAGCTGGGCGAGAGGTATGTAAACAAAAATAGGAACGTTACCTTATGTTCTGTCTTCAGTGAATAAAATTTGTAAAAGTTATGCTATGAAACTACTTAATTTCATATTCAATTTATAATCATGGTCACTAAACATTAAGAGTTGCTTGCATAATCAGCTGTAATAATTTTAATTTCAGCTACATTAGCCTGGGTGTGGTGGAATTGTTAAGACTAGTCACTATACTAACTACTGAAGCTCACTGGGAGTTTTGACCCAGTCCTACACACACACACTCTTTCTCCCTCTCACCCTCTCTCTCTCTCTCTCTCTTTCTCTGCCCAAACTGTCTCATAGATTTGCAGAGGTGTCACACACGCCCAATATATCCCTATACATGAAGCTTGTGTAACCTGTAAGTTTAACATCTCTTTTATCATTTTGATCCTCTGAATATCTTTGCAGGGTTGCTTTGGGGTAAAAACTGGAGAGTCAGCTCCCAAAGGGAAATAATGAATTACCATTCACTCATTAAAGATACATTTCACTGTAGCAATTAGTTTTAAGTTATAAAAGACATTCATGACTGAAAATGTAAATGCAGTACACATCCAAACAACTATTCTATTCTCTCTCTTATACTGACCTACTATTTTTTCTCTCCTAGCATTTAATGCTCAACTAGCACCTGGCTAGCCCTCCAAAATCTACAGTATCTGCGACTTCGCCTACACCAAATGCATTCAGTACAGTGTTAAGACATGACAATTTAATTTAAACATCACACATCAATTAGGTCAGTGACCCAGTTGAGTAGATGCCTGAGTAGAATCCACTTGGTTGCGTCAAGTGACTGACACAACCTTGTATATGTCTAGCGAAATCCCATTAAATTCAATGGTACATACCTCCAGTTAAAGTATTAAACACGTATCTTACACCCAATAAAACAACAAAACCATCTAAGATATTCCAATAGAGAGGATAATAGCGTCGGCATCTCTAGATTACATAAAAAAACACATACTCTTCCAATCAGTTGGGTGCTCCGATTTCCACCGCCCTAACCTTTCTCTTGCTTTCATCCGTTCCACAAACTCACTTTGTTTTGTTTCAGACGCTAGTTTTTAAACAGACCATAACTTTATTTTCCTAGGCATTTGTGACTCGTCCTGAGAATAAAGATCCTCCTCCGCCGATCACCCAATCAATCCGGGCATCCGCCCACCCCTCTCGGCCCCATCGCTCCCCAAGGACCTTGAGCCAGCCGCCCGTTCAGCCGTTCGCACTCGGCTACGCTTCCCGTCTCTCGATGTTCGCGGAGGGAGGGAAGTCCGGTCGGGGCTGGCCCGCTTCTCTCCCTGCTCTGATCATCCCCTCACCTACTTCCAATATCGGCGCTGGCAGCGAAAGGAGGGCCAGTCGGCCCACCGACCCGGCGGCGGAGACTGCAGGCTGTGCAACTTAAAACTGCCGATTTCCCAGTCTTCCCTCGGCGGAGAGACACACGGAGGAAGAGGAGGAGAAAGAAGAAAAAGGGGACAGAAACAGATGAGCAGCAGCTATTCTGCCTCGCCCCTACTGGCCCTGCCTCTACGAGCGCCCCCTTTCGGCGACCACCCTCCGCCCGCCCTCCTTTCAGGCACCGCCGAGCTCGGGTTTCATACCTTCGGAAACGTGTCCCGATTTGAGACACCAGCTCGGCAGGCGGCGATTGGCTAAAGGGAAAGCTTAACAATCCAAAGAGTGGGCGGGCGCACCTCTGAAATGGCCACTATTGGTCGCGCGCCGGGAGTTAGTCCCGTTGTATAATCTTCACGTGTGATTCCATGTTTCTTTCGGGGAGAAGTTGCGGAACCTTTTAGCTGGCTTGCTTTGGCAGACGGTGTTTCCTTCGCTTGTCAGTTCGAATCTTCTCCCATTGCTTGAGGGAAAGATGCACCCGAAGGGTGTGGCAGAGAGGGTGCGAAATTGTTTGCATCATGCTTTGGAAGTGTTGGGATAGGTCAGGGGTAGGCAACCTCGGCTCTTTTATGACTCATGGACTTCAACTCCCAGAATTCCTGAGTCAGCTAAGCTGACTCAGGAATTCTGGGAGTTGAAGTCCATGAGTCATAAAAGAGCCGAGGTTGCCTACCCCTGGGATAGGTTGTCGGAACGCAATTGGGAGAAAAGTATTGTGACTGGAATGGGTGGATTTTCCCATGACACGCTTTATCCGCATTCACTCAGTTCGCATGACACGATAAAGATAAACTCGGATATGAAGTTCACATAACGCTAAACTAGCCTGCGAAATTGGCTCTAGGTAGTGCGTTCATGAGCGGAAGAATTGATTTTCCTTTTCTCGTGTCACCCAATGAAAGGATAAATGTTTGGGATTTTGTTTTCATCTGCGTAAATTAGGCCGATTGCGTAATTGCTAGGGAAGTACTCTCCGATTACTGCTGTTTTTTCCTGATAGAAGCAGAAGTTCTTTCAGACTACAGTACTGTGCATTTGATCGCTTCGTGACATCTTGATGTTTTAACAATGTGGAAATGACTGACTTGATTTTCTTGAATTATCTATGTAGCCTACATTTCTGGGGTGTTCAGTGGTCTCCTGTCCAAATCCTAACCTGCTCTAACCTTGTTTAGCTTTTTGAGATCAGAAAAAAAATCAGCTAATTTGCTATGATGTGCCCTGTGCCTAATAGGGGGGAAATTGCAAAAAAAATAAAAAATAGAATGAGATACTGCAGTACAGTTTTGTGGCATTTTGCCAGCCGCTGCCAGCTATTTGATATTGGTTCAGTATATTGGATGTTTTTTTAAAAAAGAATCAGAAACATTTCAAGGGCTGGTATCAGCTTTTCCGATTAACAAATTTTATTCAAAAGCATACGCTTTCATGAGCTGCAGTTCACTTCAGATGCATACATGTGGCTACATTAATTGAAGGATTTAAATTGAGGTGAGGCAAGAGGGAGAAAGAGGCATAGGTTGGCTGTGCAGATATGTTAGAGTGATATAGTTATAACATACAGGTTTTTTAACTATTAAAATTATAATGTATTAAAATCCATTGTTTGTTGAGACTTGAAATTGCCTGAAACTTTTTCATATATGCGAATTCAGCAACTTCTTACTTAATGATGAAGTTAGTCCCATTTTTCCAAAGCAGCCACTTTAAGGCCTGCTCTAGATTGTTCTGAGAGGTTGAAATGCTCTTATACTATTTTATCCTTGTTTTGATGGGTGGCTGTGCACACAAGTGAACACAGTGTAAGAGAGACCAAAATGAGGAATAACTTATTTTTTCTGATAAGTCCATTTGAGTCTTTAC